CTTTCTCATAGTCGTGTACTTATTCGAAACAATTTCAGACCTAATCCGACCAGATCTTGACCCTATATGCGAATGATCGTCGACTAGCTTAAGCTAGAGTGCTCGCCTATGAAGCATTAGCTGGGTTGGAAACTGGAGTATGTGACGTTACCTTCTAGGGTGTCGGAGCTAGAAGGACCGCCGCACATGCAGCCTGACAGGTACCGAAAGCACTGTTGCAGGCGACGATAGTGGCAGGAGCCGTCGCACCAAGCGTGGCACCCCAAGTCGCGCCTCCTGCAGCGTAACAGGCCATAACCACTGCAGAACAGCCGGCCTGGCAGATGCCATATCCGATCGGGCCTGCTGAGACCATGGGTACGAGCATGAGTAGGGCTGCTGCCGCCGAGATGGGAATGATGGAGATCTTCATTGTGTATGTTGCGGTGGGTGCTGTGGAATCTGTGATATGTTTAGCGACGGCCAACGGACATACTGAGAAGATAACTAACTTGCTAATTGACCGTAGTGTTATGTAATTGGTTTAGAGCGTGATGGCGGGCTTATGGCTTGGTGAGCGTTTGATAAAGCCCTGCTGCACATGCTTTTCATCGGGCTAGTTCGTGTCACACAACAGCTTGCCACGTCATTTCACCGGTCACCCATCCCCTCACGTCCGTCGAGAGGACAAGCCATATGAAATTACGAAAACAGCCCCTTCATGCCTGCCCAGGTGGTTATGTATGGAGAATGCAGCGTTGCCAGAGCTCTCAGTATGGCCGTAAATCTGGAGCATCATTACTGACGTGTTATATCGTATGCTTCCAAGGCCCAGTCCAAGGGCTTCCAAATGCCGAGAGCAACGCGGAAATGGCGTTTTCCTTATAAGATCACCTTCAGTCTAAGTCAGTCAGCAGTGAAGGCATCTACTGCTGCTGCACTTAGATCTGAAGTAAGCGCAGTCTAGAGGTTGATCAGCAGCTCTGAAAGCGGTCCACGATAGATGGCGTTAAATTGGTAAAATATCAATTTAGGGAGACCGCATCAACAATGGACGGGACTGCTAGGCCAATTCAGGATGTCTGAGTACACATTAGCTGTAGGGATGGATTACGAACTGCCCATCTGACTACTGCACCATACCGAGCAGTCTTCATCAACTCCCCAGCTACCTAGTAGCAGCGACATCTCTATCCCATTGGGGTGGTCACCACGGATGAGATTGAACCAATCTCAAGACTTAATGAGCACCCCTATCCCTCTTTCTGAAAGAGGAGACAGGTGGCAGTATGGAGATCATGCGTCAGCCAGCCAGATGTGCGGGGTTTAGGCAGCAGCTCCCAGAGTCGGTGTATATAATCGCCGCATCTCCAGGAATTGGAGCACCCTATCGCTTTACTGCTCATTTCTGAATGTGGGGCGGCTGGCTATGGCACCAAACGAAATAAGCCTGTCGTCCTCGTCTCTCTTCAGACTCCCTGCTGAGATCCGCATCTCAACATACGAGCTTCTGGACTTTCCGCCTGTCGACAATGAACAATGTCGTGGGCTGATTTTATCATGTCGGCAAGCAAAGCGTGAGTGCGAAGGAGTCTCGATACGTACGACACAAGCGTGGTTGCTGGCTTACAAGGGAGACGTTCTCCCACAAAGCGGGCTTGAGGTGCGCATCTTGCTACCTCCTACAACGAGAACACCTACTGGGATGCATGCCAAGTTCCACACGCTTCGAAATCTGACCCTGGTAATTCCTGGACGAGCAATCCATGGCTGCGCTGACCAGCGCCGAGAGTTCTTTGAGAGTTTCCGGCCCTTAAACGCCATCTTCAGCTTGTGGCTCGATAGCCTGACGATACAATTCTCGGGTCCGGTCGGAAAAAGCAGCGAAGGATACGGGATGTGTGGATCAATCACCGAGTGTTTTAGACGCCTTTTCTTCATTCTGGAGAGCGGCTTGACGTATGCGCATGATCCTGTCAGCCAGAAAGGCAATCTCAAGCTCAACAAGTACCGCTCCCTGGTGAAATACTGGCAGCCGCAACCAGCCTGGATTAAGAAACTGGTGGTTTCATGGGATCTGACTGAGGAGGGTCTGCGGAGCAAAGACTTGGTGGCGGTCGATGGTCACTGCAGGAAGCGTACAACGGCAGCTTGTCCCGGGTTGCGGAGATATCACGTCGCCAGCGAAGACGGCCTCCTTGGATCGGAGTCAAGGGAATCTTTCTGTCGATTTCGCCCATCGGAGCCGGAAGATCGCATGGCGGGCCCGAGTATTCAGCACAAAAAGCACTGTCTCAAGTGCGCGTGGCGTGGATGGGACTACCGCCGCTACGTCCGGGGCTTGCCGGTCGAGGATGACGAACGCTGGCTTTAGGAACAATCGCGGAACAATCACGATAACACAGCTGAAGATGTGTGGAAGAGCTGGGGTCGTGCTGTTGAAAGTCCGAAGATCCCGCTGGGAGCCGCGCGATCTGGGCGATCCAGGGGCATCCACTAACACCCAAACCAGTAACAAGCGACGCGGGCTTATCAGGCACGATCAAACCTCATTGAACGATCACTGCTACGACTTTCGTGTCTACGTCATGTTTGGAAGTATCGCCGGTCTTCGGATCAAAAGATATGGGGAAGCGCTGCACGCTCTCTCCTTTTGGATCTTTTGGATCGCGCAACCATGTGTGGCATCACTTGTGCGGTCGCATTGCGGGGTCATGGACCGTTAGCGAAGGAACGTGGAGAGTTGAGCAAAACATTGCAAAAGAGTCTGGATACCATCAAGCATCGTGGACCTGATGCAGATGGTCATTGGATCAGCGAAGATTGTCGCGTGGGTACGTCAAGAAGTGACTACGGGTACGGGGAGAACACGTGACTAACATCCTGATCATCTAGCTCTTGGGCACAACAGATTAGCGATCGTCGACTTGAACCCAGAAGGAGAACAGCCATTCCACGATGCAGACAACGACATTCACGCTGTAGTCAACGGCGAGCTGTACGGCTATGAAGAGATTCGGGACCGCCTTAGTGCCGAAGGCTACAAGTTCAAGAGCCAGTCAGACTCTGAGATTGCACTGGCGCTGTACAAGAAGCATGGTCTATCGTTCCTGCCGCACTTGCGCGGAGAGTTCTCATTGTGTCTATATGACTCCAAAGCTCAGGTCTTCATTGCCGCATGCGATCGGTATGCCATCAAGCCCATGTACTACACAATTTTAGACGGCAAATTGCTGGTATGACCGCTCTTCGCTTTTCCGAGAAACTTCGGACTGACAACCGCTGGCTAGATCGCTTCCGAAATGAAAGCATTCCTTCCCTTTGGATGGAAACCTGAGTGGGACGTGCAAAGCATCAAAGACGTGGGCTGGTTGTGCGATGGGAGAACCATCTTTCAAGGAGTTTCCAAGATACTGCCTGGTCACTACCTCGTCTGCAGATCGTTCAGCACTATCTCGCAAGACAAGTATTGGGATGTCGACTTCAAAGACAAGGTATGTGCTATGGCGTGTGCATCACGAACATCGCTGACAAGCTTAGCGTGAAATCGAAACGAGAAGTGAAGATGAGATGATCCAGGGTGTCCGAAAGCACCTTGTTGATGCTGTGCGAGATCGACTTCGTGCGGATGTACCAATCGGAGTATTCCTGAGCGGCGGCATCGACTCAAGCGCAATAGCAGGCATGGTCAAGCATCTGATGGACACTGAAGGCGCACAGCTTGGCACAGCTCCAGCATCAGAGCGGATCAATTGCTTTAGCGTTAAGTTTATTGGTGAAGAACACGATGAAGAGCCGATCGCACGTCGCACAGCTGAATGGCTAGGAGTCAAGATGCATCACTGCGAGATGACCGAGGAGAACTTTGCCGCCAACATCGAGAACGCAGTCTGGCACAACGAAGCAGCAGTAACTGATCTAGGCACTGTTGGCAAGTTCTTGCTTTCGAAGCTTACCAGCGATGAAGGTATCAAGGTCGTCCTCACTGGAGAAGGATCAGATGAACACTTTGCGGGATATCGGGAGCTCCTTACGGATTTCGTTCGCGAACCAGATCTATCAAGACCAAATCCCGGACTTCCGGAAGAAGAGCGCGTGGCAACATTCAAGAGCTTAGAGGGCTCAGAGACATCAGGTCCAAAGGAACTTGCGACATCGGCTGCCATTCGTGCCCAAGTAAACAACACCTCTTTCCTTGGTTTTACGCAGACCGCTTCTCTCCGTGACCCGCTCTTTGCGCCTTGGGTTTTCAACGAGTTTGGAAAGAGCGACAAACGTCTTACGGCTGTGAACGCTGTCGATGGCCGTACCCGCGAGCTTATGGCCAAAAGGTGGCATCCGCTTCATACATCGCTGTACATCTGGATAAAGTCCTCTCTCGCAAACGGCCTACTTACCGTACTAGGCGACCGCTGCGAGATGGCCCACAGTGTCGAAGGCCGTCAGCCCTTTCTTGATCATCGCTTAACGGAATATGCGATGAAGCTTCCGCCCTCTGTAAAGTTGCACTACGACCCTCAAACTCGTAGTTTCAGCGAGAAGTGGATTCTCAAAGAAGCCATGAAACCATTCATCACGCCTGAACTCTACGCTCGCAAGAAACATCCCTTCTCTGCTCCAGTGAAGTATAAGCCCGATGGTCCTGTTCACCAGTTGTTCCAGAGACTGATCACGAAGGAGAATGTGGAGGTACTTGGATTTCTGGAGTGGGATAGGTGCAAGGATCTGTTGCATGATGCGATTTACGATGGTGATAGGCCAAAATGGAGTCAGATGATTCTGGTGGGTCAGTTTGTGATTCTGAGTAAGAGGTTTGAGGTCAAGAAGGCTGCACCGGAGTTTGATACGCTGGGGGCAAATGGAGCGACGAGATAGTCTTGGGTGTTCCAACACGAAACGCTCTGCACCAATCTATTCTGTTCTGTATTAAATTGTTTGAGTGTGAAGGACAAATTTACTGAACAAAACACTAGAAGAAACTAGAGTCTGACATCTCTTTTAGCTCCTCCTCCTTCCTCCTCCTAGTCATATTTGATACCAGTCCAGCAGACTTGAACGGGTACATAATCCCATTGTTCACGTGCTTTGCGTACATCATCCCAAGCAACTTCCCACAAGGAATCCCACATACCTCCACCAAAACGATGATGGATCTCATCCAAGCGCACCATACCAACCGAGCTACGTCGATTTGTAGCGTAAAACAAGGACGTATCTGCGTAGAATCTCGATGTGCCAGGGCTGAAGAGATTGGTATCCGCGTGGAATGGCGGTATATCGCCCTCGAACTCCATGGTATCGAGTGATCCATCTACCTCTACAGTATAGAAGCGTTTTCCAAGAAGTACCTGGGGGACATTGGTAGCAGGTCTTGGGGTTGTAGGCGCGATGGTTTGCGGATTTCTGGAATCATGCAAGAGAAGAGCGTCGATAACGGCAGGCTTGCGCTCTGGAATCTCTGCCGATGCAACGCCTCGGTTGCGAAGTTCTCGCTTCAGCTGGTAAGTAGGCAAGCTCTCGTATTCGTCCTCTCGGGTACAGTTACGATAATCCCACGAGACAGTGATGGTGCCGGCAAAGAACTCATCTGTGTCTAAACGGCTGGGACTCCTGTCGATTCCGCTTTCTAGACCCATTAGCATGAGCACTGCTGCTTCTGTCATATCTTCTAGATTCTTCACTACCTGCTGACTCGTATAATGGAGGACAATGTTGTTGATCTCAATAGAAAGTAAGTCCTCGACACCAGTGCGAGGATAGCGATCTTTACGAAGGTCGACCAGGTGAACAGGTGCGTTGGTGATCAGCGTCAACTCTGTTAGTCCAGCAAAGTCTTCCATGTTCTTCAGTTGATGCGGTAGTCTCAGCCTATACCCCGTACTCTTGGTGAATCTTCTGCAGATGTCCTGGACATACAGCCACAGATGACGCACGCCCTCCTCTTCAGCTTCTTGTTTTGCCTGCCGACAGGTACCTCTAAAGCCAACCCATTGGGTCGCGTCCTTGGTACGAATTTGACCAAGCGTCATGTAATTGTAGATTAGGTTTCGGACGTCGCGGTTGAGGAGGTTAAAGAAGTAACTGGTCTCGTTCGGGCCTTGTTCGGGAGGGGCTGCATCTTGTGGAATTATGATGTCAGCGACGCGACGGGAGGTCGGCATTGTGATCGACGATGTGGTTATGATTGAAGACTGGGCTGTAAGTCGATGAAGGCTTCGAAAGGCTGTGTGTACGGTCGAGCGCCCACGTGTGGTTATGGGTGTTTATGCAGGGGAAGATCGAATCGAAATCAGGGCAAGGTCTTGAATATATATACACTAGAGGGGTACTCAATGGCGTGCTCTAGGAAGCTCGAGCGTCGAGAGTGAAATATTCGTGTAATCAAGGGGCCAATCGCCTAGTTCCCTGCCCGCCTACCAATCCTTGCTCGGAGTCAATGCTCGATAAGTTCGCCCATGATTCGCGTATTCTTACTCGTCAATTTAGATCACCGAAAGGACTGAGCCCTTGGTGTAAGCATCGTGTGTGACGTAAGCGGGAGTAGGTCAAGGTTGGTATGTGGTATATGTATTCATCGGCTTTCATAACTCGTACAGCTTCTTCTCTACCGGCATTGAATCCCGTATTCTGTAGCTCAATCTCTGTTTCGGCTTGGACTCCACCTCTTGAAGACGAACTCTCGAACTGTGTACTTCTTCAGAACGCTACCAATGTCAAGCTTGAACCCATCCAACTTCATGTGATCCGTATCCCATGGTGCTGGCACTTCAACATAGACCAGCATCAGTGTCTTCATGACCTGGGTTTGCACTCGGTTCACCCGATGGAACCACCACCAGTCCCTGCGCTCCTTTTCCGCGGCTCTGGCTTGGGCTTGACCGTCCGTATTCTCGGTCCAGTACGGGGCTGAGTAGGAAGGAATGATCATGATCGCAAACTCGGCATGTGTGAACGCAGGACCGCGAATGTAGAGCAAGTAGTCGACAGCGAATTTGACACCAGGCCGCACGACCCAGCCCAAGGATCGGAAGTGGTGAAAGACAACGTATTTCATCAGGAAAGGATTGTCGGGTGCAATAGGCGGAATACACGTCATAGCAGGATCCACTCGAGTAGCGTCATTGCTCATACGGTACGCAGTACGAAGATGCGTCAAAGCTCTTCCGATATCGTCGGATTCGCCGGAACTGGACGCATGGGCGCAGTATACTCGCAAGAGGTACCATGCTGGGTAGTGTTGTGCAAGATCCATGGGAGCCTGGGTGTCCACGTTGACGATTTCCAAAGCACCAAGGACGTATGTCAGGAAGAAAGCCTCCTCAGGTGTGAGCTGAAGATGCTCAAGATCCACAATATCAACCTCTAGATCAGCTTCAGCGTCGGCCGGTGCGGCAGGGCCATCTGTGTTTTCATTGATCGCCGGAGTTGCTGTTGCATCTTCTGGCTTGGTGATGTCCTTGGCGTCGCTACCTACGAGCTTGTTGATGTTGGCGTCGGATACGATCTTGCCTTCTTGCCGAAGCTGTTGCTCAATAGCCTCGCGCTGCGCCTTGGCTCTCTCTAACTTGAATTGTCTGCGCTCTTCCCGCCTTGATTGTGTAACCTCGGTGCTTGTCTTGGACGCCTGGGCACCTCGCCTTCGCTTTTCAGCGACTAACCACTGTGGTTCACTTCGGCTGAGGGACCCTTTGCCCCAGAAGCCTTGTTCCCAAAGAGCTCGGATGGAGGCCGGATCGGTGACGTGGATTGACTGGGTCTCTGCAGAGTAGTATGCTCTGTGGATGACGATGTGTGACTTGGGCGACCACAGCGACTGCGAAATCAGGCTGATGAATAGTCGCACGATGGAAATGGGGTTGTGCGGGATGAAGGCAGGCAGCGCATATACGTCTAGTGGCAGAGGCTTCGCATGTATCTCGTTGTAGTTGGGTCGTCTTGGGCGAGGTTTCCTCGAAACACCGTTGGCTGGTTCTTGGTTCGGCTGAGGTAGACCCTCTGGGCGCTCCTCGCTTGCAGCAACAGCATGCTCAGGCTGCTGAGTTGAAGACATGCCTCAGTCCAGCTCGATGTTCGACGAAACTGTACTCGCGTTAGTCCTGCGCGCGTTTTGAGGCAATGTGAAGTGTAGCAAGTAATGTCGATCAGATACCGTTGTAGTCTATTGTAACGGAAACAGCATCGAGAGCCAAACGCAGTCAAGTGAATGCATGCGCCGGCAATCGTATAAGTGAAAAGTTGTCATCATAAGACAGTGAAACATGTGAATGGGAATGGATGGTACTTACCCGGCCTTTGCGACTTCAGGTAATGGCGTCGTCGACGAGCGTTGCGAGCTTCATGGTGGAGTGGTGCTGATGGTGAGAGGAGAGCGCAAAAAGTTTGGAGATGACTGTTTGCCAAGGCCGAATTTGATTGGCCGTCTTGGCCGACCGCACAGCAGTCCAGTTCCCAACACACGACAGCCACCGTACCACTGGCTTTTGAATGCGCGTAGCGGTCGTTGACAGTGGCACACAGTATATGCTTCACGATACCCACAGACTGCGGCTGGGGCTTGTGCTTGCCCTAGGAACGCCTGTTGTGACGTAATAAGAGCAGCTACCTCCGACAAAGTAAAGAACGTCTTCGTGACGCCACGCGAAAGCGATTAGGCATCTGCACCTCTTACACGAATAGTTCCTGCCTGATCAGAGACTTACTCCAAACATACAGCAGCTCTAGATATATACGGAACAGCTTTCAAGATGCTGCCAGCGGCAAGATGGTCTTTGCGATTGCCACGCCAGAGCGCTCGATCAATCACCACGAAAAGCACACCACGGCTAGCCCTTCGAAGCCGCCTACCGCGCCACACGACGCCGCCAACGACCTCAGCATATTCTACGAGACCACCTAGCAACGATTCCTCATCAAACACGCATGATGGAGCCCCCAAAGAGACACCGAAAGTCGACGCCGTGTCCAACGCCCTCTCGACCACGCCCGACTCCGAGAACAACCTCGTAACGCCCGTATACATGCCCGAAGATCCGAACGCTGTTCTAAAGCAGACACACCCCGCCATGCGTCTTCTGGACAACTCCTCTCTTATAGTACAACGACAGTTGGAGATGATGAATGTGCTCATGGGCTTCGAGCAAGCGAACCGCTACGTTATCATGGACCCGCACGGTAATCATATTGGATATCTCGCCGAGCGAGACCATGGCCTAGGGAACGCCATGGCGAGGCAGATGTTCAAGACGCACCGCAGCTTCACGACTCACGTCTTTGACCGGGACGAAAAGGAAATACTAAGGTTTCATAGACCTTTCAGCTGGATCAACTCGAGAATACGCGTGTATGATGCGGTAGGGCCCGATGAGCGCACCTATGCCAGCTCGGCAAGCCTGCAAGGCACGAGTGTCAAAAGCATAGCCAACCAAACGAGCGCAAATGTCTCAACTTTGGCACTCCAAGACATGAGGATTATCGGAGCTTCGGAACAGGAGTGGGCACCATTACGAAGGAAGTATAACCTGTATCTCGCGAGGAATCTCGAGGACGCCGCCGCAGGATCAGACGCGCCCCAGCTGTCCTCTGGTGACCTGCCAATCTCAGACTCTAAAGCCGTGGCAGTAGCAGAAGGCGATACCCGAGAAGTGGGCATGCTCCAGTTTGCCAGGGTTGACGAACCCTTTTTGTCCTGGGACTTCAGCTTGATGTCTGAAGACGGGCGGCTAGCGGGTTCTGTTAACCGCAACTTCGGAGGCTTCGCGCGCGAAATATTCACTGATACGGGTGTTTATGCGTTGAGAATGGACGCTGCCGGGCTGGCAAGTGAGCCGTCAGGCATGGTTTCCAAAACTGGTGAGCAGAGCCGACCATCACTAGAAGACTACCCTGGCATGACCCTTGATCAACGCGCCGTAATGCTTGCTACGGCTGTTAGCATCGACTTTGACTATTTCAGTCGACATAGTGGTTCTGGTGGCATGTGGCCAATGTGGATGCCATGGGTAGGTGGCAGTGGTGAAGCCGCGGGAGGTGCTGCAGCTGGTGAAGCGGGTGCTGCCGGTGCTGGGGCCGTAGGTGCTGCTGGCGAAAGCGGTGTTGCAGGTGAGGTCGGCACTGCAGCGCGCGGACTGGGAGCTGGAGAGGGTGCTGCGACAGGTGCAGCTACAATGGCGGGCTACGAAGCTATGCAAAGAGGGCGAGAAGCCAGGCAACAAGGAGACGATGCTTCCCCACAAGCGACCGATCCGTATCAGCCCAACCCCGACCAACAGCCAGGCACAGGCCAAGTCGGTGAAGATGTCTGGGGCGAAGATCCTGGCGTCGGATCTCGGGGTCAAGATCAGGACTTCTGGGGTGGACAGGGTGGACAGAGTGGTGGCGATGCTGGAGACGGTGGTGACGGTGGTGGGTTTAGCTGGGGTGACTTTTTCGAAGAGTAAGGCTGTGCCGCTTCTTTTGTACCACCATTGTATCTTATAGCATTGATACCATTTTAGATAACAAGCTCTATTGCCAAGGCAATCGTTGGCAACGCGCTCATATACGTTTCTCCCATAAGTCGGTTGAGTAGAGAAAAGAGCCCTAGATACTAGTCTGCGGCTGAGGTGGGGCTGTGCTAAACGGCTCAGTCCTTCCTTCTTCGTTCGCTTTTGCCTTCATACACGACTTCACTCAACCGCTTTGCGCTTCGTTACCTTTATCCTCTACGAGGCGCTAGATCCAACTTGAGCCCAACTCTAGGCTTATGTTGGTGCCGGAGCATACCATTCAGTCTTTGATTGATGAGGTGGACAAGCCCGACAACTCAGTCGGCAACGCAGCGAGAATGCCGCAGACATCGGACTTCTACAGGTATAGAGAACTGGACGGATCAAAGCAGCAGATCCGTCTCGCAAGATTGTTGCGATCTCAACCTGTGGCCAATACGCTATACAAGCGCGACTTCATTTACTGCGAACTTGAGATATTCGACATGAACACTGCACCCGAGTTCATCGCTCTGTCATACACTTGGGGTGGACCATCAGATAATAGGTATATCGCTATCAATAACAAGCTGCTCGCTGTTAGAATGAACTTGTTCGATTTCCTTTCCGCCTTTCGCGCAGACGAAGCCAATACCCAGTACCTCTGGATCGATCAGGTAGGTCCTACATCTACTTGGCTATGCATGCATGGACTAATCTCATCACTCAGATATGTATCAACCAACAGGACACGGCGGAACGTAATCATCAAGTTCGCCTAATGGCTCGAATTTACTCCGAATGCATCTATGTCATTGCTTGGTTAGATTTGTCTTCGTTAAGAGCAGCGCGAAGGTACTCCAAAAACAGGAATGCCGAGAATACTGAGGCTATCTTGAGAAACCGTTACTTCACGCGTCTATGGATCGTGCAGGAAGTAATGTTACCCAAAAAGGCACATATCCTGTGCGGTCACGTCTGGATGGACTGGGATGTCCTCTTCAAGGCTGCATTGTTTGCTGGATTTCTGGAACATCCAACTCTGTCGCCAATGACGTATTTACTTTCTAATCGTTATGCACACGCGGAGCCTGTTCGACCTGGGTATTCGCATCTACTGTGCAATCTACTACGTCAATTTTCTAGCATGGGCTGCGAAGACCCTCGAGACAAGCTATACGGTATGCTCGGCCTCATCTCTGAAACGCTACGGCCTATCGTGGATTATTCGAACACCAGGGAAGACGTCTACCTTGATGCCATCAGAATCCTTGGTCCATTTTTCTGCATGGACGCCTCGAATTGGTGGTGGCAGGACTTACCGTTGAGAATGGGTGTCCCGTTGGCTCATGTTGTATCGTTGCAGCCTTTCGTCAGTGGTCTACTTGCTTGTGGACAAAAAGAAAACAAAGCTGACCCAATATGGACTTTGCAAGATATGGGCTTTGTAAAAGCAGATCCAACGCGTCATTATCCGGGTCGATGGTGGTACGAGTACAAAGGCGTACGACATTACCACGACTGTATTTTCTCCAAGGACGAGCCTGCAAACTCAGAAGCAGCTTTGTGGTCCTTACTTGATGCTACGCCTGAACGAGGCTCGGGGTAACTGGGATACCCCGCATCATCGTCCATCTACCCCGGAAAAGTCCAGCTCCAGATTTCCCGCAGCGCCACCAGTCGGGGGTAATTGTTCCGTTAAACCCACGCTGCCGAAGTTTCATCTATACCGACTGCACCGATATAAATAGTAGCCAAGCTTGTTAGAGATCATTATGACGATCATCAAGCCTTCGAAAACGTTTTCCGCTTTGCCGATATGAAGCTCACCGCGAGTTCAAGCGTCTTCTTGACACTCTTTGTGCATGCAATCGCTGCCCCCGCGCATTCGAAGCAGAAACAAAGTTCTTTTAAATGGCATTCCACAGAATCTCTGATAGCCTTTGGGGATAGCTACACGTACGTGCAGGGTACTCTCGGCCACCAAAACTACACCTTCATTGGCGATGAATTCAACTTCTCTTTTGCGCCCGCACAGCTCTTTTCGAATCGCATCGTGCAGAACCTTACGGGAACGGCAGAAGGTGGCCCTAATTGGGTGGAGCTTTTGACTGGATGTGGTGTCGAGGATGGTTTGCACAATCCAAGAGAGTGCGATGTTCAGCTCTGGGACTTTGCATATGCTGGCGCGAATACTTTCGAGGAAGCTGGATTCACACCCCTTCATCACAACCATACTGTCTCACTCGAACGGCAGATCGAACAGTTTGCCTCCTACGGCAGTCCAGCTCTCGAATCAATTCATCTCAACAAGAAGAAAGCGCTCGTAGCGATATGGATCGGCATCAACGACATCAATGACCTTGTATCCACCCAAGGCAAGAACGCATCCTTTGCGCCACTCTACGAGAAGATCCAGGATCGAGTTTTTGAGAACGTGGAGAAGATCTATGAACTTGGCTACAAGAACTTCCTTTTCATGAATCTACCGCCTCTGGATCGTGGGCCAGGCACGCCCAATGTCAACGCGTCGCTCGTTGCTTCTTTCAACAAGATTCACGCTGCACATGCCAACGACTTTCAGTCCGATCATAAGGACGTGAAGGTGCTGCAATTCGACGTGAATAGTGTTTTGAACTACGTTTTGGATCATTACCAAGACTACGGGTTCAAAAACGTCACCGACTACTGCCCTGGATATAATCAGCCAGATATCCTGACAAATCCTAGCCAATATGGGTGCACGGACTTGAACACGTACTTTTGGTACAATTCAGGGCACCTGACGAGTCGGACGCATGAGGTCATGACGAAAGCCTTGAAACGATGGTTGTCAAAGCAGTAATAGGGATATAGACGGTCGTTTGTTCTTGATATCATAGTGCGACATTTGTATCAAGGGTCATGCCACCCGATTAATATCGCTACAATGCCCAAACCCTCTGATCACCCCTACTGTCTGACCTCTCAAGCTTGTTCATTCTCCCATACCACAGCCTGAGTGTCGTAGCGATTGCCGCCACCAGGAAACTACACGCCGCACACACGAAGTTGCCTGTCGGGAAGCCTTGACTTCGCTCGTCGTTCATCCAAATCCATTGCGCAATGATCTGACCAATACCTGCGCAGCTGTTGTGCAGCGCGATTGCGAGTGGCAAGGTGAGGAAGCTTGGCGAGTTGCAGGTCACCCAATTCGTCATGGAAGGTGCTGCAGGGAAGGCACCTGCAGCGGCCATACATAGGCAGCCGTACCGCTGAACATAGGCGTCGGCGGGAAGAAGGCCAGCGGTCAGCCAGCCAGTCCCTCCTATGAGTGATGCGATGGTGATATGCCACCCACGAGCGTTGAAGTGGTCCGCAGAGTAAGAAATTGTGATGGCTACGAAGAAGCCCACGACCCATGGCGGGACAGTCAGAAGTTGTGCATGAATGGACTCGTAGCCTAGTCCGGTAACGATAGTGGGCGTAAAGAACGTGAATGACCCCTGAGGAACGACGTCGGCTACATACGCAACGTAGTGTAGCAGCATGCGTGGACTGAAGCAGGTGTCCAAAATCTCTTTCTTGCTAGCATGTTCCTGATTATATCCACCGCCTCGGTCAGCCAGACGATCAATAGCGAATTTCTTTTCGGCGTTGCTGAGCCACTTCGCTCTAGCTGGGTAGTCGGGCAGGAAGAACCACAGAAGGAACGCCGATAGTAGGGTGATAATTCCTTCGATGATGAAGAGCCAGCGGAATCCTTCAAGACCTGCCGCTCCGTTGATATGGCCGACTCCGAATGCGATGGCGCCTCCGAAGGCACCAGCAAGGTTGCAGAACGCGATGACGAGAGCGATGCGAACAGCCCGCTCGTTATAGCGGTACCAGATCGTGATGAAGTAGACAATTCCTTCGATACGTAATCAGCGCAAGTTCATCAACCTCCATGTCTCATTGTAACACACCAGGAAAGAAACCGGCTTCGAAGACTCCGATCAAGAACCTCAAAGCGATGATCGTAGCACTGTTCTGTACACCCGCAAACCCAATCGTTAAGGCTCCCCAAGCGAAAAGAAGGATGCCGAGCCATCTAGAAGGTCGGATGTAGTGCTTCATGACGAAGTTGCTTGGTACTTCGAACACGGCATACGCGACGGAGAAGAGAGTGACGGTCAGAGCGTAGCCGTGAGGCGTCAGGCCCGTATTACTGAGCATGTCGTCTCCTGTCTCTGTGTTGAGCACGCGAGCGTTTCCAATGTTTCCTGTCATCAATTTTAGCGATTGACTCGGATGCTGAGCCGGTATGAGATGATGAGGACCATACCTCTATCAAGAAAATTCAAGAGATATACCCAGCAACATAGAGGTAGAACGCGTAGGTCTAGTTGCCGGTTGAGTTTCTTGTTGTACTTTTCGTCATAGACATCTATCTCCCCATGTTCTTGTAGCGTCTCATCCTGGTGTTTGACCGTGTCGATGTCGACATCTTCGAGGTGTTCCTGCTTCTCGGGTTCTATAGGCTTGTCCATGGTGATATTCTCGTCTACGATAGCTGAGCAACTCTAGGTAGTCTATTGTGAGCGAAGGTTCTTGCACCTTCCGTATAGCTTTGGTCAATGGTTATATAGTTCAGAATATCCATCTTACTTCGTTATCCCATAGCGGAACAACGCATCCGGATATACCAGTTGCGGCTTTACCCCAGATGTGCGGGGTAGAAGCCCACATCTTCGCGCTGCATATTCCCTACCACGGAGATGATCCGCGATCCATCCGCTGTGGGACGAGAATGTCGGTGTTGTCGCCGATGGTATTGTTCGTTGGGGTGCGGAACCAGTTTGGCCACCGAGAAGCCCAGGAAGCTACCCATGTACGTCATCGAAATGATTCCCGTGCATCTACGAGCTTCTTAGGGTCATCTCTGCATGCGTTCGTTGCTATTAGTAGCGTGTCCTGATTTCCGGTGAAGATGCGACAATGTGGGTGCAATTCAGTCAAGACGAGGCCTTGAAATACCTAGGTAGCCTCGGAGAGCGCGCACTGCGCACGGGCCTGCTTCCAATTGGATCTTATTTCCCCATACGTCATCTCACTCCACATGGATCTGATGAAGCCCAGAGCCTCCTACCACGAACTCTCGTCACCACTGCCCCTGTACTCCTGCGCTTCTGACGTGCGACCCTAATCGTTGTCCGTCAATCTATCTAATACTATGATAGAAAGAATCATAACTACTAGACCTATGGCCACAGTAATCTGTAAAGTAAAGGCAATCCAGACCATAGCAATTGCGCTGACTCCGATATCCGTTCGGATATTCCCATAGTTGGCAGACTCTGCCATTGCAGCTGCACCAACAGATCCCACATGTTGCCACAAACTTGCGATAAGTAACTGTACCGCCGCGGCAAAACTCGCTGCGAGGGCAAGTTCTGATACTGGGCGCGATGGGAAGGGTTTGACATCTACGTCAGACCCAGTTCTCTCATCTCGCTCTTCGTGCCACCCTGGGAATGTTGCGAGAAGCAGTATAGCGACAAATGCGAGAACGACAGCAATGATGAGAAGACCGGAGAAGAGGACTTCGTTCTTGAACTTTGCAGCAGCGCCTATTAAGTTCAGCGGGTCATTCTCGAACCCGATTTGCTGCGCCAGACCGTTGTGATCGGAGCTGCAAAGCCAGACGATACCACGCTGGCGCACGCACATCCCAAAATAGCCCGCTCGGACTTCAAGGTCGGTGGATCCTTTCAAGTCATTCAATGCGTCAAGCAACACGTCGTGGCCTTCAGTGGGGCGTTTCGAAGTCGAGTTAATATACGATAAACCGAGGACGTAGACGTTCGTCATCGTCGAAGAACTTGCGCACCCAGCCAGAGATATCGCTATGGGTACGATGAGTACGATGCTACCAATCCGTAAATGTCAGATCAACAACTCACAGTTAAGTACGATCACAACAGCCAACAGAATCATCAAGATGTGATGGAAACCGAGATACGGAATTAATTCTGGTGACATTGTCAGTTCAGATATTGGTGTGTACTGTTGGATTGACTGACGTGAAAAAGACACTACATAGCGTAGGTTCACCATCGCTACCTCAATTCCAATAACCCAGCGATTAGGACTGATTCATAAGACGCATCTGAAGTACGGTAAATCTGGCTTTGAAGCTGATGTTTGCTCCTTGATACGGTGAGTGCGGTTGCACAGATTCCCAAGCGAAGTGGTGTGCTGAAGTCTTTGCTGGAAAGTGCAGCTCTCGACTGGTTTTCAGGAATCCCCGCAGATGTTCTCCCGTATATGTGATACGTCGCATGCATGTGGCCGCATACACACTGCACGCACTGCGCCACCGGGCGCTTACCGCAATGCCAACCAGCCCCATTACTGGGCAGCCTCGAAGCTGTGATACGGCCATGAACTCAAACTTGTGTCCATATAGATCGTAGGCCTGTTCTTCTTTATTCGCATGCGACACTAGCAGATACAAACTGCGATACAACGATATGCTTACGCCGTCCTTCTGTTCGATGCGCAAGAACCTAGAGCACACCCTAGACACATTGGCGAGCGTCAGACACGAACATTGCGGGGGTCAACGTCGCGTTACTAGCAAACACGGGCGTGGGCCGTACGCGTGGAAATGGAGGAGGACGACCAACAAGCAACATGTGGTCATGAAAGGAGCCCGGAAGACAGTATATACAGTTCTAAGAAGTCACCGGGTCACACGCGAGGCGACGCGCCGGAATTTGAGGGCGTGCATCAGTACAACGGCCAAACCAACTCGCCTTCATGGGCAGATTCCAAGCCCCAGGATAGGTCTTTGAATAGCTGCAGTTCCGGACACTCTATAAAATCGAGTGTAGATTACTCCAGTAAAAGCTTGACGAGATCTGCACCATCTCTCATCATTCAACAACAGGCAATACCCCGCACATCACTTGATGATCTACAGACGCGCCACCCAAGACGATTGCAGTCAGAGTGCCGGACGGCAAGCGCAAGCGCAATTGCTCTACCCTTATCTCGTTCCTCTTCAATAGATCAGCTGTCTATCCGAGATCCACGCCAGAGCGGCGAGCCCAAGTCTGTGGAACAGCCAATAGTGCGACCAGACCGCGCAGGTCCTCCCGGCGAAGAGCGCGAACGTGGGAGAGCAAGGCTACGAGCGGGCTTGGTCCCTGGAGAAAAGGCGATAGAAAGAGAAGAGCCTCAGAAAGCGAGCGATAGAACTGCAAGGCAGCAATTACAGCAGTCGCTTATACCAGAGCGTGAATCAATCAGGCAGCGACCGGAAGACGATATACCGCGCCGACCAGAGGCGAGCAAGTTCTGGAAAGCAGTCTTAATAGCCTTGAAAAACGGAGAGCTTCGACAGAACCGAAGACAACAACCATCAGAGGTGCAACAGGAGACAAACAACAATGAGGCAGATACCTATCGCATAAATCTGCTCAGATCAGCTGCGCGGTTTTCCAATTTACGTCATGCCAGTACCGTGAATACACGACATATCTGGAGTTCACATATCGTCTTGTATGACATACTCGAAACACAGCAGTCTCGTACATCTCCCGAAACTCTCTGGCCTGATGCACATTTGAATGGGGTACCGACATACGAAGACTTCCGTAATAAGTTGAGACGTACTCCGCCTCAATGCCCTCTTCGAGTCATCTTTGTAGAGGACCTCAATCCTTCCTTGATTGAGTATCTGGGTGCCGCCTTCCAAATTCCACCAGGAGTGTTCGAAATACACTTAGATGGCTCTGGTTTTGTAGACGAAACACCCGATGGCGCGACACGAGGTCGGTGGATGAATCATTCGTCGAGTCCGGACTGTTCGTCTTTGAC